ATTTCACTAGGAGGGTGGTGAAGCACTGGAATGGGTTACCTAGGGAATGGGTTACCCAGTGGAGTCTCCATCCCTAGAGGTGTTTAAGTCCCAGCCTGACAAAGCCCTGGCTGGGTTGATTTAGTTGGGATTGGTCCTGCCTTGGGCAGGGGGCTGGACCTGATGGCCTTCTAAGGTCTCTTCCAGCTCTATGATTCTATGAAATACAACACAGTCATTGCTATACTCTGCCCAGTGACATCTTTGAATGACACCTGCCTTCTTCATGGCTACATCTAGACTGGCATGATTTTCCGCAAATGCTCTTAACGGAACAGTTTTCCGTTAAAAGCATTTTCGGAAAAGCGCATCTAGATTGGAGGCACTTGTATGTAGCGGCCTATCTGCCCTGGGCAGACTGTTCGTAGCTGCACTTTAGACCAACCTATAGGTTCCAAAATAAGAAGACACCCCAATGTGATCGTCCAAATTGACCACCATGTAAAAGATCTAAAATCATTACTGTTGCAACTAGCACATCTCTTAAAAACATCCCTTCTTAAATTACATGATGCCAGTGGTGGAGAATCCGTCACAACCCACAGTAAATTGGATCCTGAGTGTACCCTCACTCTCATGTTAAACATTCACACCATCGTTTCAGTTTGGATTTTCTAGTTCTAAGTTCTAGCCATTGGATGCGGCCAGCATCTAGCACTGCACATTTACCATACACACCGCCCATCTGATTATACTTGTTTGTTGGGTTTCAGAGTTCAGGGGCCATTGAGACGAATGTGACAGTTGACCCGTGTTGCTTGGAATTTTCCTATCCTGTATAGAGTGAATTTTCTTAGGGTCACCAGTGTGGTTGTGATAGGCAACATGGAGTGATGTGTGACACGGTGGTGATCTGCAACAGAGAGTGATGTGCGGCAGACAGGCAATGTCCAACATGGAGTGATGTGTGGCAGCCAGTGATGTGAAACACAAAGGTGATGAGTAACATGGAGCCTATGTCTACACTGCAGACTTCTTGTGGAAGAATGGCCGTTCTTGTCCAAAATCTTGTGGAGCGTCTACACTGCATGTGCGTTCTTGCTTAAGTAAATTTTCAGTAAAGCATCGGAACAGAGGGCTTCTTGCTCAAGAGTTATTCTTCCCCCACAAGGAATAAGCCCTCTTGCGTAAGAGCTCTTGTGCACGAAGGCAATATGGACGGGCAACAGGGGTTTCTCACGCAAGAAACTCCTATGGCTAAAATGGCCATCAGAGCTTTCTTGTGCAAGAGAGCATCATAAGAACATAAGAACGGCCATACTTGGTCACACAAAAGGTCCATCCAGCCCAGTACCCTGTCTGCCAACAGTGGCCAATGCCAGGTGTCCCAGAGGGAGTGAATCGAACAGGTAATGATCAAGCGATCTCTCTCCTGCCATCCATCACCACCCTCTGAAAACCAAAGGCTAGGGACACCATTCCTTACCCATACTAGCTAATAGCCATTTATGGACTTAACCTCCATGAATTTATCTTGTTCTCTTTTAAATCCTGTTCTAGTCCTAGCCTTCACAACCTCCTCAGGCAAGGAGTTCCACAGATTGACTATGCGCTGTGTGAATAAGAACTTCCTTTTATTTGTTTTAAAGCTGCTGCCTATTAGTTTCATTTGATGCCCACTAGTGGACTGAGCACAGCTGTTACTCTGGGAAATGTGAGGAGTGGAGACAGTGACCTTCCAAGACCCTCACAACCTTCCAGCCCCACAGCTGGAAGACACACTGGGACTGGGGGAATTTAGTGAGTGGTCTTAGGGGCCCCTTTATTCTTACAATAGTATGTAATTTCCCACAAGCAAACAAATGTCAAATACCACCTTTGGGAACATGTCCGTGCTATTCTATACCATCATGTTTGCATTCTCCATCTGTTCGTACTTGTTTGTAGGCTTTGAAAATTCAGGGGCCATTGAGATGTTTACACGTCCTTAGGGAGGCTTTTGCAGGCTGTTGCTCACAGTCTCAGGCAACATTGTACCCAGTCACATGCACACAGTTTTTTTCTGAAGCCTGAGGAAGAACTAGAGAATGTACATATACTACATTACAAACCAGAATGTGCACAGACAGGTATATTCAGGAGACAAATATTGGGGTGATGTTCCAGCCCAGTTCAGCGATGTTTGAACCCAGGTAAGGACAGAAACCAAACAGCAAGACATGAACTTCCCAGCAGATCACTGGCTGCAGGAGTGAAGAGGAAGTTGTTTTCTTGCTTCCACTGCTATACCACAGAGCACAATGACAGCATCATCGTCTTGGGAACCCCACAGATAGATAAGTACAGTATATGGTGTTACTGGGAATGTCCTGGTACCCACAGACAGAAGCAGGGACTCCAGCAGTGCCCTGTATTTTCTCAGAATCTGAGAGGTAACTAATGTGCCCTGGACAACTCCTGAGTTCCTGCTGGGACTAGTGTTCACTGTGGACTTTGAAGCTGAGCTAACTGTTCACAGTGGAGGAGGTTTTACATGTTTTCAGGAGACTCAGGCAGTGAGAACATCTGAGTCCTCAGATCTGTAGGAAATGCCAGACATGCACTAGAAGCACCTTCACGCTCATCGTCCACCATTCCCAACAAATCATCACCTACGGAATCCAGAGTCACTCAGGGAAAGTATGTAGGCCAGGGATAAACAGTTACATTCCATCAGAGTTGTACTCACAAAGAAACCTGCTCTAGACTCGAAAAGTGTCTGGGAGGTGAGGCAATGTCCTTTACTGCACCATCTTCCCTGTAGAGAGATGAGGCTTGAAGCTACACAGAGTTCACAACTTGATCTCTGTAATTCCCTGGGACACATGAAGCTACAAAAATGTTGCATGTGCAAGAGGCTGTGAATTCTGCCATTCTCAGGGCATCATTAACAGAATCTTTGTCTTGAAAGCTTTCGGGGAATTGAAATATGCAGGTTCCTCTCCACCCCTGAAATGTTAGCCCATGGGACAACACAAGAAAGAATGTTAAGTGGCCTTTGAAAATGAGGAGGTTTTGTCTCACTTCCCCATTGTGCTGGGTCACTGTGAGGAGTGTTGCTGTCCCACACCAGACAGTAATAATCAGCCTCGTCCTGCGCCTGGACCCCAGTGATGGTTAACATGGCCGTGTTCCCGGAGTTGGCACCAGAGAATCGCTCAGGGATTCCAGAGGGTCTTTTGTTATTATCATATATCACAAGTAGGGGAGCACTGCCAGGTTTCTGTTGGTACCAGCACACATTCTTGCTACCAAGGTTGTTCCCTGAGCAGGTGAGTTGAGCGTTTTGCCCTGGAGACACAGACACTGAGGGCGGCTGAGTCAGCACGTACTGGGCCAGAGAACCTGGGAAAAGAGGAGAAAACAGAGGGATAAATTCGCTGTTTCATTGCTGTGCGGAGAGAGAGCTCACTCTGCAGGCAGCCAGCACAGGCAGCTGGGGAAGGGAAAATCTTTTTGGATTAAAATCTTTTTGGGTTACCGCACCCGAGCAGTAGGTGAGCAGGGCGAGGAGCAGGGGGGCCCAGGCCATGGTGGATCCAGACGAGCTCGGCTCCCTGAGGCAAACGGGTCTGTGGCTGGGACCCTCCGATTCCCTCTTAAAACACCAGCACTGGGGAACGGCCCCTTCATGCAAATCTGCTCATGGCTGATTGGCTGCCCATGCCCATGGACACCACCCACCCCCTTCAGGAGGCGAGGAACAGAGAGGAAGGGGCAGCTGTCTGTATAAAGCCCCATTGTAACTGGGGTAAGAGGAATGCTTTGGGTTACCCTTTGCCAGGGGACAGTAGAGACCTCTGGAGCTGAGGACTCTCAGGCTGCACAACCGGCCACACCCCTTATTTCATGGTGCCGAGCATCCACCTGCCTGCCCCTGGGGTAACAAACCAGCTGAGATTTGTTGTTGTGGCCCCAACCCACAATCCCTGCAGTCACCTCCCCTGGTCTCTGGCGCTGGGATGTGGGTGGGAGGCTGGGGTGGCTCTTCCAGCTGCCTCCTTTCACCTGCTCTTTTGACTCTGGCAAGCTCCATTTCAAGAGGATGAGGTGTTGGCTGGTCCCTGTGAGTCGTGGGGCCAGCAGGGAAGCAGGGGTCAGCTGATCATCCCCCTTACATGGGCTCCCCCAGGGTGGAGCATGGAGTGACTGGGGGAGGGAGAAGCCAGGCGGGGGTGGGGCTGCAGGTGTAGGCAGCTGCAGGGCTTTTCCCTCTCTGCCCTCAGGGTTTGGGGGTTTCATCATGCCTCAGGTGGGAGCCCCTGCCCTGGAGAACGTGGAACAGGGAGATCAGAAGGGGTTTGATGAAGACCTGGGCCCTCAGAGCAGTAGGTCCCCAGGAACCTCATTTCTGACAGCCGTGTGAGAGCTGTGAGGGTTTGAAACCCCTGAGCCCAGAGATGACTCTTCCCCAGCAGCTGCCAGCCGGTCACTGGGAACTGCAAACCCCATTAGGCATCCTATGGGCTGTGGATGATCAGCTCCTCCTAGTGGTCAGTGTCACACACAGCCTGGGGCTGTTCCTCTGCATGGCTGTGGAGCAGCATCACTTCACAGTCACTGTGCATACCCCAGCTGCTCCTTCAGGGGCTGGGCTGCTCTGTGTATTTAAATAATTGCAGCTTCATTTACATCAAAACGGCCGCTGTGCTGTGCCGATCAGCTGATTCTTGGCACAGTGCCGTAGTCTAGACGGGGATCTGCCGACCCCAAAACCCTTCGTCGGCAGATTCTGTAAGCATCGAGACATAAAGTATCTGACGATAAAGGGTTCTGGGGTTGGATGATCCCTGTCCAGACTACCGTGCTGTGCCGCCAATCATCTAATTGGCACAGCGTGGTGGTGATTTGATGTAAATGAAGCGGCGATTATTTAACTCGCCACTTCATTTCCCTTTGCCGAGTACACTCATCTACATTTCTCCATCGACGGAGCCATGTAGTCTAGACACACCCTCACTGTGCACACCCCAGCTTCTCCTTCAGAGGTTGGTCTCCTTCTCTGTGTGATCCAGAATGAGCAAGTCATTAGCTTCCTTCCACCTCTGGGTAGATTTGTTGCTATTTGGGGCAGCTGCAATGGCCGTGATGAGGTTTGCTCCCAATGTCGTGTTGGTGTCAAAAGTCCTGTGGGAACAGAGCACCTGTAAGCTAGCTGTGCACCAGCTGTTGGCCGTGCTCCTCTAGAAGTGGCCACTGCCCTGCTCCATGAGCTCTGCAGTATAAGCCTTGTGTTTTAAGGGAGTCGGCTTACAATATTTAAGTATATACTATGATAGACAGCTGTGGTATGCGGGTGCCTGTGGTATAGATGGCACACGAGTTTAACTGACAGGGCAGACAAGTTGAACTGCAGGTGGCCTCCTTTAGCTGATGCTTATCAGTTAATCCGTTAAACGGTTAAACTCTTCTAACCCTATCCCGTGACCGTACCATGTGACCCTTCATGTGACACTGCTCTGTCCCCAGCCCAGACCCCCTCCCCACTCTTTCTCTTACCTCCCCTCCCTGAACTGGGGGCTGGGGGTGGTTCTACAGCCAAAGGAGCTGTTGGCAATTCTGCTGCTTTCCCCACCCTGCTCTTGCCAGCAGGGAAGGGAACAGAAGGCCCAGCTCTGGCCCTGCCTCTCCGCAGAACTGCCTCTCCTCCAGCTGCCCAGAGCGGCAGCCATGCCAGAAGAAATGTCTGGTGGGGCAGAGAGGTGCCTTGGGAGTTTTGCTCCCTTCCCAGCTGGGAGGGGCAGAGCAGGGAAAGCAGCAGAATTGCCAAATGCTCCTCTGGCTGCTGTTCTGTGCACAGCTCCTCCCCCAATTTGTTGTCCTGCCAGGGGATAAGCAGCGCTGGGCATGACCCAAACAAAATCCAAAGCACTGTGTCTAATGGTTTAGTTTGTTTTGTTCCTGCTCACCAACTACTGGGAGGAGCGATTGCAAGGGGCAGAGTCTGGCTGTATGAATTATAATCACCAAGGACAGGCCTGGGCCATTGTGACCACAGTGTGCAAGGGAAAGTAAAAAAAGCTGCAGGGCAGAGCCCCTGGATTTTATGAAATCCACTTGTTCAGAGATTACACACTGGCCGTAATGGCTGGGGGGGGGGGGGCTGGGCCCAGCCCTTTCTGTCTTACTTTATTCACAGTTCACATAGATCCCAAGGGAGGAAACCCAGATAAACTGCCATAGTCCAGCAGCTGGCAACCACCCACTACCAGACACCGCCCAGCAGGAACTGGATCCCATGCAGCTGGGAGAGATACATAGTTCCCCCTGCAGCCACCAATTATTGTGAGGATGCCCTGGGAGTTACTGCTCTTTATTGGGTGGTTTCTCTAGTTCAATCAGTAGAGCTTTTTACAAGCAATGATGAAACTGATACAGAGAGGCCTCTCTGATCTGCATTGAAAGGTGTGAGGCAGTAATTGCATCTATAAACCAATCACTCAATCAATCACTCAGTTTCCATCCTGCCCCTTTGAAATGCACTTTCTTACTCTTAAAAGCAAGAAACTGATGCAAGATGACAGAATCTTCCAGGAGCTGCCTTTGTAAAAGAGCTTCAGCCCCTTCAGTAATGGTCCCAGGAAACACCTGGACACAGTGTCACTGCTACTCCACAAGGGTGCACTGCTTGTGAGTGCAAGCGCAGGATCATCTTCATGGGGGCATTAAGAGAATGTGAAGTAAATACGGTAAAGACTAAATAACAACAATCTTGCTTCTGCCCTGGCTTTTAATTTGAACAGGCTGAAATATCAAGCAAGAGAATGTCAGTGAAACCAAAAAGCAGCCCCTTGCCCTGCAAAGTGAAAGCGTTGCCTTTCAGTAATAAGAGAAAACAAGAGGGCCCAAACAAGCAAAGGGTTCCTATGGTAATAAAGTAGTAGGAAGCAGAGGGGTGAGGAGTGAAAGTTGTAAGGAAGAAAGAGCAAGCCCATGGCCAAAAATAACCACTGCTTACCCACATCAGGTACAATAGAGTTGCTATTACCGCTCCCAGACTTGAGATAGGCCTAGAATGTAACTGACCATATTGGAAGGAGAGCTGCCTGGAGGAGAGAGAGGGGCACTGCAGGTATTATCAAGTTTGCTGAGAAGAGGAGGGAAGAGGGAAGTCTGAGAGCGTGCGGGTCAGGAAAAGAAGGGGTTCTATTGGCATATATAATGGTAGCTGGGAGACAGGACGAGGAAAACTCTATTGCAGTATTTCCTAATTTTATTTGGCCACAGAACCCTTTTAAACCCAAAAGAATTTTGCAGAACCCTTAATAACAGTCAAATATACGGAGCTGAAAAAGCAGACCACAAATTGGCAAAGATAATAATAAACAAATGCTAAACAAGGTTATGAGATTTAGTTTAGATTTAGATTTAGTTTAATTGCACATATTTAAAAGCTAAACTAACATAATATTAATTGTTATTTTTGTAAATCATAAAATGTTATTGTAATGGAATTTTCTCACGGAACCCCTATTTTCACTTCACGGAACCTCGGGGTCCCATGGAACACCATTTGGGAAACACTGCTCTATTGGCTCATAGAGACACAGAAGTAGGCCCAACTGGCGTGAAAGGCTTCAGGACATGCTGGCTTGTTGAACCCCAATTAACCCCTCACAGGGCCTGCAGATGGGACACAGGACTGTTATTTCCTGGTCTGGGAACTGAGAGGGGGTGGGAAGCTGGACCCTGCCAAAAGGGGGCAGCTGAATAACGTGTGTGGGGTGGGAGTTGGGGGGAAACGCTTCATGTGGTCACAACCTACCTGAAGGAGATTTGGGAGATTCCCCTCACTTTGTGGATGCACCACAGTAGGGCTTGCGGGAAAGGGACATTCCTGAGGCAAAGAAGGGGGGGGGGGGGGGGGGGGGGG